GCTTGGAGGCAATCTCCCACCATGGTGAGAGTGGCTGCAGCTGAGAGGTGAATCTATGCTGAGCCACAGGATCAGGGAACATTCCAAGGAGGCGCCTTCTAGGCTGAGTGGAAATTACTATAGCATTTAAGGAACTGGGAGTGACTGGGTGTGGCCTGAGTAGGGGGTGTGGCAGGAGGCAAACCTGGAAAGGGAACTGGTCTCAGCAGAATGGGTTTCCCCCTGTCCTTGGCACTTCTCCCAGGGACTATAGGGAAAATCTCTACTTTAGGCTCTGTCATATTTGTGAAGGAACCACTGTGTATATCCTAATTCCACACTCTGCCTTCAGACTTCGCTTTAATCCTTCACAAACCTTGGCTTTGTGAGGAGCTACCAACCTGGCCACCCCCCTGGCAAAACTGCTGAGGCAGGTGTGGTGGGAAGTTACTTTCCCACCTCCCTCTGGGAATGCTGAGGGGCACACACAGGAGAGTTCTGTCTTCCTGAATGGTAGCTGCATGGACACCTGGAGGAAAGCTCTCCAGGTCAAGGTTAATGTCATTTGACACTTCTTTTTGCTGGGTACTGAGCATGTCATTTATGTTAGCTCTTTTGCTTGCCTGGTCCTGGCAAGTAGATGCTGTCGTCTTATGGAGCTGGCAGTAAGAGCCAGTTCTGTAGCTCCAGTGTCTGGATATCCCCTCCCCACCTTGGAACCCTACCAGCTTGAGGGAACCAGGTGCTAGGAAAATAGACATGGCTATTATTCTCAGAGCACAGGCAGGTCTTCTGAGATGGCCTCAAATGCTACTCCAAGTATTCAGAAGCCACAAAAGAGGAAGTCACAGACTGTGAAAGAAATTTTGTTATGTCACCTCAAAGACAGCCGCCACAGTAAAGATGAGCTTGGAAAGATAGATAAACCAAAAAGCATACTCCCAGAACTAGCCTGTAGCCATTTCAAGGAGCCAAATGTCAAAACTTCCAGAAGCCAGATTCTTGTAGATGTTTTTGAAAATTTTGTAAGGAGGCAAAAAGGTAGAAATTCTGCCACACATAGACTGAATAATCAGAATCTCTTAAGAAATATCACCAGGCATGGTAGCAAACTCCTGTGATACCAGCACTTGTTAAGCTGAGACACATGGTTGATCAATGCAAATTCAAGGACAGCTTGAACAACATAGCAAGACCCTGTCTACAAAAAGAGAGAGAGAAAAAAAAAGGATGGATGGATGGATGGATGGATGGAAAGAAGGAAGGAAGGAAGGAAGGAAGGAAGGAAGGAAGGAAGGAAGGAAGTTAGTTTATAGTTCAGTTGCTTAATGAATTAAACTCAATGTCTTAGCTTTATCTTCTCCGAATTGGATCTGAACTTCCTTGCGTTTGTGCAGAATCATGGTCCCTGAATTTGTTTCCCTAGGGCTGTCATAACAAACTACTACAACCTAGATGGTTTTTTAAAAAAACAATAATTTTATTGAGAAACAAATAGCAGTGAGACAGTTTCAAAACCAATTACTAGCACAGTTTCAATAATTAATACATTGCATAGTTTTCTTAGTGGTTATTCATTGTACAAGATGCAGACATGATATCCTATGTACAAACACAATTAGAACAAATCTCTCTATTCATTGAATTAAGAGAATGCAGCTGTATGTCTATCCTAACTATTTTGAGTATACAGATACAAAATGGTGGTTCATTTGTGTCCCCCTTTTTTGGTTAGTTTTGTCAGAGAAGGGCATTCCATTGTCATTTAAATATTGTAGGTGTGTGAATTCAGCAAAATATTCCAGTATAGTCCAGTAGTCCATAATAGTAGTGGGTTTTCTATAAGACTGGCAGTGTCAGAAGTTGTTAACTTAAAGACCAGAGATGATTATGTCAGATCCTGGCAGCTGGAAGGATTTGTGTCAAATCTGTGAGCAGCACCAGAAACCGTACTTTTGTGGGTTGTGAGGGAAAATCTGCCCCAGGGCCCTTTCTTAGCACCTGATCATCCTGACAGTCTCGAGTGTTCTTTGGCATGTAGATGTATCACCCGATCTCCACCTTCCTTTTTTTGCCATGATATTCGCCCTGTGTACATGCCTGTCTGTATCCCATTTTCCCCCTTTTTATAAGGTATGATGGATTGCAGCCCAGAGTAATGATCCTATTCTAAATTGATCATCCCAAAGACTTTGTCTTTAAAAAAGGGTATGTCCGTGGCTTTTGAAGCTTAGGACTACTGCTTCTTTTGCAAGACACACTTCAGCCCATTACTGTCCCCTGGGCCATTGTGATAATGTAGGCTATCAGCCATCACCTCTATGTGTCCATGAGCAGCTCAGACCAGAGTAAGGATAGGGGCCAGCCAGATCGCTCAGCTGATTAAAGTGCCTGCTTAGGCAGACACAGGGGTCAGAGGTTTGATCCCCTGCCTGCTGTGCTGGCCCTGCCCCTGGGGCATGCTGAGACTGTGATTGAGACTGGACATGGTGTGCATCTATAATTCCAGTGCTTGGGAGGCTGAAAACAAGAGAATCACTGAGTCTGATCTGTGTAGTTAGACCCTGTAGACCCTGCACTAAATACCAAAAAAAAAAAAAAAAAAAAAAAAAAAAGTAAGGATAGTAGGGAGCCTCCATATCTATCCCTTATCCACCAGAGGGGCAGCTACTTCGTGCCCTTAGAGGGACATCTGGGAAGTGTAAGACCCTAACCCTAGGCTCATAGTGAGCAAATCAGAAAGTCTGTAGGTGGGTGCCTGGCACCATGAAAGTAGCTAAGTGCACTTGGGAGTGTTCCAGACATCCAAGAGGCAACTCCCAACTCCCATATTACCTCCCCCACCACCACCTCTGTGTATTTGATGTTAAAATAGTGTTAATAAGACATTTCTCAAGATTGTAATAGCTATTGAGAAAGATACATATGAAAGAAAACACAACATAAAGTTGTATGTATAGTTTGATTTCAAAAGTATGTGCATATACTTTAAGTGGCTATATTGAGATAGAATTCAGATACCATAAAATTCACCTATTTAAAGTCTGCAGTTTGTTCACTTTCTGTATATTCACTACATGGTGCAACCTTCACCACAGGCAATATAGGATGTAATCATCACACCAGAAGAGTTCCACATATCCCTTATCCAGCTTCCTCCAACCACTCCCTCTCTTCTCACCCAGCCCTAGATGTTTTATCTCATTTTCCTATATGTGTACATTCATTTAGTTTTTTAATTAGGAAAAAAAAATTGAAGAGAAATACAGGTCAGACAGTATGACTTCCCCTGGTGAATGGCAGAATTACAAATTTAATTTTCTTTTCTAAATGTTTGATACTTTTCTAGTTATGTGATAAAAATGTATGGGAGAAGGGGAAGGAAGTATTTTGAAAATAAAAGACAAAACTGTTTAGTGTTAATAGTCCTTATAGATTATTCTAAATGTGCTATTCTGCAGTACTTAAATGATGGTCTTTCATTGAGGGGGAACCTAAGTTCTAAACAACTGACTTTAGATTAGGATTTTTAGAGCCCAAGTCATTAAAAATCAGCAGTCCACAGCTCCTCCTTGATGGCTTCCTCTCCTAAATGGTTCCTCTGCTTCATGTGGCTTCTTAGCCTTTAACAAATTGTGGGGTGGCTTAGGTGAGAGGCCCTGTAATTAAGCCACATCCTTTGCCTCTTTTAATAATATTGGAGACTGAGAGCATAATTCTGCAAAGGGACAGGAGAAATATATAATTTAGTGTCCTTTTCCTGAGCTGGTATGCATAGGGTACATGTAAAGTCTTGCACACTGCAGATGGAAAAAAGTCATATGTTTTGGTTTTTTTTTTTTTAGTCATTGTCTGATGTAAGGTAAATCCTGGATTGAAAGGTTCCAAAATTGGAGACTTTTTGGACACGTGTTCAGTTTCCTTTGGGGGTTTCACACCTCACCTTTCCCTGAGGAGGGGACATCTACACTGGGGCAAACAAGTGGCCCTGGTCACCATCACAGATCCTATGCTTTGCCCAGGCTGGCAACCCAAGCAAGTTCTCAACTCATCTGTGTCTCACATTGGCTCAGGCATTCCAAGATTCTCTGAGTAGCTCCTTCCCTTCATATTGCTCATCTGGACAAGGCCAGCACCATCTGAGCCATGTCCTCCTCCTGGACTCCATTTATGCCAACCAATCCCCAGATAATTAATCTCCTTCATGTATACCAATGACCTTGTGCAATCTGACTCATCTCTTTTTCAACTCCATCTCCTGCATGAATATCTGTATTCCTTCCATCAGGCTGTTTCCATAGCATGTTACAGTCACATCTGTGGTTTCTTAACCTAAAGTTCATGTATGGAACTTAAGTGGATATGTGAGGTCTTAAAATAGAATATAAGCACAACAGACTGACTCACTGACTGACTGACTGACCTAGGACAGAGGTCCTCAGCATTTATAGAATTCTTAAAGAGAATCTCCAAACTCTCAGACTTAAGAACTTTGCATCAAGTATATTCTTCCCCTTACTTAAGCAATATCTTACCTGTCCACCATAGTGAATTGCTCTTGAAGACTCTGCTCAGAGGTCCCCAGCCTCCCTTCATGTTCCTTCCTCCCTGTCCCAATGGTATAGCCTATCTAGGATACTTCTAGCTAAGATCCTGGTTAGGTACTGTGTCTCCCTGCCTTGCCCCTAGCTCTGCCAGGTATTTTGTTGGCTCTGGGTCAGCACGTGGACCAGGAATACAGAGACTAAGAAGGGTTCACTGTGCAAGGTCCGTACAGTGGTCCCTTCTCAGCCTGATGAGCACTATCCTTGCCTCAATACCCAGTCCTAGTAGGACCTGTGCTCATACTGACTGTCCTCTAGTGTATAGTGGGACTTCTAAGAGGTTGACAGCCCAGTTGTCAAGCACCTACATGGAAGATCACACTTCCATCTGCTATGGGAACTCAATAGATACCATATATAATGATTTTTAACTTGACACTCAACAAATTTTGAGTTGTTTTTCTTCTTTCCTTTCAGATTGATGCACTGAGTAAAAGAAGCAAAGAAGCTGAAGCAGCCTTCTTGAATGTCTACAAGAGATTGATTGATGTTCCAGGTAAGCAGGGGCCCTTTTAAGCCCCCCTGCAGGGCACCAGGTCTGCTGAGACACTGTGACTTGGGCTTGTACTTCTTAGCTTTCTTTAAGGAAATGGGCCCTCAGAGCAACTTCCCCCAAGAAACTAGCAAGTCCTGGGAACACAAATTTTCCGAAACCCAGAGAAATTCAATGTCTTTTAGAGTAATCATATGATCTCTAGTTGATGCTTTGTAAATAGAGAAACCTGAATTTCCTGAGCTACATTGCAAAGTAGTGCATATAACAGAATAGATGGATACTACTGTGCAAAGCACTCTCAGGCTATTGATGCCACCTGCAAGACTTCAGAATGTCATTGATAGGACACCTGGAATGCCTTGCTCACCTCTTGGCTCATCCAGGATTAGTGACCTCAGCTCAAGACTTTCAGTTAAGGGATAAAACTGATGTCTTTTTAGCTCTTAAGCGTGAAGGCTATTTTTTAAAGTAACTAAAGAGTTAAAACTTAAGAACTGCTTATTAAGTGACTCAAAAGACAGTAATTTCCGAGTCCTTACTTTAGAAAAGTGGGACAGATTTTAAAGTACCTGAGCCTTCTCTCTGGTACTGTTTGTTATTTTTCTGCTCCTAGATGACTTAGAATCTATAAGGGTGACAGATATGGTCACCTGACCCCTCACCTCAGTTCTAGAGAGACTGATGAGAAGATTAAGAAAGTCATAGATGTCGTTCTTTGTTGACAATAAGACCAAAGTACTACCACCCTCGTATCCCCACCTGTTGCAGTTGCATGCTTGCCTATAGCAATAAGTATCACTCTAAACATCACTGATATTACTAGGACAACCATAGCAAAGTAGGAAAAGGTCTTTTGTATCTGTATGTGTTCTCTAATTCAAATCCACAATGGGCTTTGCTGAACCTTCTTGGAACTGAGATTCATAAATGCTACATCTAGCCAGGGACAAGAGAAAATACTTTAGACAGTTGGGAGATCCAGAATCTCCAGCCAAGTGCTTGTTATGAGATCTTGACCATCTATCTTCCTTCTCCTCCTGGATCTGTTTGCCTCATCTGTAAAATAGAACAGAGTAGAGGATCAGCCTGCGTAGTGGAGAATGATTCCCTTTGTTCTAAGTCTTAGGAGCTTATTCAATTCTTGGTTCTAAATTCTAGCCTTAGGATTTTTTTTGTGAGAATTTGTATCTGACTGGTGGGTTCCTGAAGACTGACCAAAGCTCACAAGGAGCTCCTTTTATATAAATGGGTCATTTGGTACTCAGGATACAGTGCTTCTCAGCTATCAGCAGCTTGGTGGACAACACTCTAATTTTCTTACATGTGAGGTGTCATCTGAGAATTTTATTTCTGGACTGTGTCATATCCATACAGACTCAAGGGATGAAGAATTTACAGGGGAAGTACATCCTGGGCTCTCCATCCCAAAGAGTTCATTCTTTATGTTGGCTCCTCCTTTTGGAGGGTTCTGCTTCATCTGTTCCCAGTCCCTCCTGACAACACGAGGTCTCTCAAGTGTGTTCTGGCAGAGAACTCAATTCCTAATCATGTTGGTGACTTAGTTGAAAGGGAGCTGACTTATTTTCTCTTTGCTGAAGACTCGGAGAGTCTTGAGCTGCAGTTTTCTAAATAACCAATAATCTTGTTAAAAAGTCAAGTTCATATCAGGGTTTCTCCATCATGAACTTTCTTAACTAGGTAACCTTTTTTTTTTTTTAATTCAGTGCAGGATCTACAGGATCTCACTACACAGATCAGACTTGTAGTGATTCTCCTGTTTTCAGCTTCCCAAGCACTGGAATTACAGGCGTATGCGCCACTACAGTCTCAGTGCGCCCAGGGGCAAGGCCAGCACAGCAGGCCAGGTATCAAACCTCGAACCCCTGAGTCTACCTAACAAGGCACTTTAATCTGCTGAACTATCTGGCCAGCCCTTAGGTAACCTTTTATTTTTTTAATTAAAAAAAAATTTTTTTTAAAGATTTGTATAGTAACTTTTTTATTTTAATTTTTAATAGATTGCTAATTGAAAATAAATTATTTATAAATGTAAGTGAATTATAACAATAAAAATTGTCCAAAATAAAAATGAATTTACATATCAGTCATAATAGTTCACTGTGTCAAAACCAAGAAACTTATATTCATATAATTAGAATTCTCAAAGTAGAAAGGAATAGGCAATAAATATTTAAAGATTTAAAATTTCTGAATTTAGTTCAACTTGTAACACCACATTTCTGAGAAAAATGAACCTTTTTGCACAAGACATTTAAATAAAGTCATATCAAGATACACAAAATGAAATTGTCCAAAACTTACTGTAAAGAAAAATCATTAAAACATATACATAAAAAATATTAGCTATGGAGGAACAAAATTAAATAGCATCTTATTCCATGTTAGAAAGAAAAAAAAAAGGACCAAGTGTGTCGGAAACTAGACTAATTAAAGGACTGAAAGAAAAAAAAAAAAGATCTGTCCTCTTTGAATTTTATACTTAGCAAACGTACCTTTGAAAACTAAAAGTAAGATTTTCTAGTTATACAAACTTGAAATATTTTAATACCTCTAGATGGATGTAGCATATAGGAAATAACAAAGAGCATAATTCAAAAGGCAAGAGAAGTTGCAGTATGCTCCTGGATGAACAATAAAGAGATCTCAATATGATAGTTATGCAGGATTATATAAGATATATTAGATGAACCCTTATTTAAAGGTCATTAAAGATTTCCATGAAACAGTATCAATCTTATATTGGGTTATGCATGTATTTTTTTCACATATATATGTGTGTATGCATGTATAGAAGACAGGGAAGAAGTAATATAAAGTCAACAGAAAATAGAAATACACTTTTTAAAGTTTCTAATACTAGCAGAAGATACTATACAATGTCTTTTAAGTAAATTATAAGTCAAAGATATAGTATAAATCTTAGAACAAAAATTAAGATTAAGCAGTATTCAGAAAATTAAATACTAATTAATTAAAAATTAAATGTTTCAAAACAATTAAACTAAGAAAAAGTTTTCATGATATTAAAGAAGTACTAAGAGTAAAACATAAGATAAATACTGGAATGGAAAATAAATGACCAGCACTTCTAACAGTTTGAGGATAGGATATCACACAAAGTTCTAGTGTGTTGTGGACATGCATAATGACAATGACAGTTATTGGTGGCCAGGTGTCACTTGTGGGACTGAGCTACAGCTATTTCTTTGAAATCCACCCTGTAGACCCAGATGGAATCATGACCCATAGGGTGGAAGAGAAGTCCATTTGTAGAGTGTGCTGATGGAAATATTTTGCTGCTGTACACAGACGAATAACTGAAAGACTACTATTGTATACCTCTTATTCTCCTATGTTTAAGTGTTTGCCCTATTTGGTGGGTTCTTTCCATTCTCATTCATGGGGCTGAATCATTTGATCATTTTGCTCCCTCTCTAGAACATCATTTAGTAGTCTGTGTAGGCTTGGCTTTGTCATCATGAAATTCTTTAGTTGTTCTTTGTCATGAAAGTATTTCACTTCTCCATTATACTTTAAAGAAAGTTTTACAGGGCATATCAGTCTGGGTTGGAATTTGTTTTCTTGTGAGACTTGAAGTACTTTGCTCTATGCTCTTCTTGACTTGATGGTTTGTGAAGAGAAATCTGCCATTATTCTGATGGGTTTTCCTTTAAATGTGATCTGTTTCTTTTCTTTAGCAGCTTTTAATATACTGTTACTGTGCTGAATTTCTGTGATCTTGATTATTATATGTCTGGGTGTGGTTTTAATTGGGTTGATGTTATTTGGAGTTCTATATGCTTTGGTTACATGAATGTCAGATTGTTTCCCCATATTTGGAAAGTTTTCTGCTATTACTTCTGCCCATATTCTTTTTTATATCATTTGTATTGACTCCTTCCTTGAGATACCTATTAGTCTCACATTGTTCATCTTTGCATCGTCTTGCAGGTACTGAATTATTTTTTCCTGCATCCTAGTTGTTTTTAAGAGATCTTTTCTTTTTCACTAGCTGCAATGGTGTCTTTAAGGTCAGAAAAATCTATTTTCACTTTTACTCAAATGGTTTTGCCGGCTTGTGTTTGAGGTTTTAATTTCCTATATATCACTTTGAATCTGTTTCATACATTCTATTTCTTTCCTATATTGCTTATTCAGGGGTTCCATCATTTTTATATTTTGCTGTATTTTTTAATCATTGTATTCTTTAGTACTTTGATTATAGTTATCACTAAATTTTTTAGTTCAGAAATTATTTCTGATCTGATCTCTTCTATACTTTTTGCAGTTGTTTCTTTACTTCCAGTGCTATTATTTCAGATGTGTGATTTCCAGTTTCCTCTATGCTAGTGTCTTTTGCATTTGTACTGGGTGGACTCGGGGCTTGAGACTGCGTTTTGTTTCTTCCCTTTGTCATTTTGTATACCACTGTCTTCTGACCTTTGGTGTAAAGCTTAGATAGAGTTATTACCGTAGCACCAGGTCCAGATCTACGAAGTTCAGATTCTTCCAGGTGGGTGTTGATTGGATCTGGCTGGGGTCTGGCTGCTGTGCTCCACTTCTTCCGGCTGCAGCCGTTGGAGTTGAACCCTTTGTGTCACTCTGGCAAGATGTTCTCCTCCTGAATCAGCTGGGTGAGTCTTGCCTCTGGCCTGTTTGCAGGGAGTTCTGCTGAAGGGTTCCACGCTAGGCCTGCACTCTGGGTCGAATGAGGATCCGGTGGCTCTGGGCAGTCTCACTCACAGGCCGGGCCTGCCGCTCTGAGTCTATTCAGGATCCGCGGGCCCCAAGTTGTCTCACTCACATGCTGGGCCTGCGCTCTGGTAACCTTTTAATAAATTGCTAAATTTCCTTTTCTGCAATTTTTTTCTGTCTTAATTTTCTATAGATTGCAGAGAGACAGTTTTTCCATATCAATGTTTTTGCTTGAGAAAGGCTTATTCATATACATGGACAAATTTAACATAATTTTGATCATA